ATGCGATACAATAGTTAGGGCGTAAGTCGGCTGCAGACGCAACCCGATGGACTATGTGTGTAATAGTTTATTGGGCAGGTAGGAGGGTGGTGAGTCTTTACGGTCTCGACCGTAGGGATAAGAAGGAAGTATTGCAAAACACCTGGCTCAAACCAGGTATACAATTAAAATAAATGATCAATATTTACTTGAATACTCGGTAATAAATTGTTTAATTGATAAAAATATTCTTATAAACTTTGATGAATTTTTTTTTCCACAAATATAATATATTTATAGACAGTATATTAAAATTCAAGCTTTATGGAATAGTAAAGTATTAGTAGAAGTAAGAATAACATCAAAAAAATATTTTCATAATAATAATAATTCATTACTGAGATAAAGAAAAAATATCTATATAAAAAATTAGTCTTCATTAAAACATATATACAATTATTGTAATTTATTGCAAAACTTATTATTTAATAACTTTCGATTATAGACTGGAAATATTACCCATAGACTGAAAAAATACTGTACTGTAGCACGATCAGGAACTAATCAGATACAGTACCTGAACTAATTTCTAGTCAGAATAGCGATCGGTTATTTTGTCGATCGATTATTTTGTCGTTCAGTTATTTCATCTGCGGTTATTTTACCCCGGATATTTTGTCCGCGGATATCTAAGCGCGGCACCGTGAAATATTGTAGGCTAAATGACTGCAAAAAGTGTAATCATAAGTATAATACACTTTTACATATTTCTGTGTATAAATACAAGCGATGTTCAATCTAGTAGAAAGCTAACGTTAAGAGTAGTTTATTTAACACATCAAATACATTCTGTTACACTTTTTTCGACTGTAATAGTTGAAGTTTTCAACAATACAAAAATACATAATCATTATAGAGTTTTCATTGGACTTTGGATCATAATCAAATTTTGTTACTTCACGTCTATGTGATCAGCTGAAATTATTATGCAATAGAGCTAATGTTCTAGTCTTAGAAATATTAAGCAACACATCTCAAAACTGCAACTCCAGTTATAACTGTCACGATTCAAGTTATTTCAAGCTTGTTAAGATGTAATTTTAATACTACCAACCAATTTTAAAGTCTAGATGATATTGACTTTGCCAATCCAAAGTTATCGATTAGCTAAAATCAATCTTTCAATAGAGATAGCTATTATTTAAAAATTAATTAGAGTTAGAATAGATTTAAAAGGCATGCAACAATTTTACAATGATCTTCAGTCGAATTACTTATAGTCAACTAATGATAAAAAAAAAATCCAATAAACGGATCCTCTCTCAAGCAATTCACGTACCAATTTAGATGAAGAAATTAACCGTTTTTGAAAAAAACAAACAAATGTGCTGTAATATATATATTCTATAGTATACCAAGTTTATAAACAAATATTCGTAATCAAGATATATATCATAAATAACTCAAAAACAAAATAACTTACCTTAAAAAATAATTCATATACTTGATCATGATGTCAAGAAAATAGCAATAAATAATCAAAAATAGTATTTAATATTTTAGTCAGATTAGATAAAAACTAAAAAATAGAAAATGAACAACCAGCCATCAAAAATCATTAGAAATGAAATAAAAACGTTATGTATACGCTGGAATCTCTGTCGAAGTGAATTGTAATACAGTTGTAATTAAAACACTTTTTACATGAGTTCAGATTTTCAATCCATTAGTGCTGATCAGTTCAGCAGTAATTATTTGTGTAATAATTTTACAAGATATTTAGAAAACAAAAACGTCTTATTTAGAATGAAAAAATATCATATGACATTTATAAATGATGAATTATTAAGTTGGCAGGAAAGTTCTGCAACGAAAACTTTAATTTACCTTCCGAATTCTGGCCACGGTTATTAATAATTAACTTGTAACATGGTTTAAGTAACAGAATGTGCTAAGAATTTTATTGTAAATCAGTTTTTTCTTATTTATATCTATCATTAAATTTATAATAAATGATGTTTCTGTTTTGTTGCAAAACTATTTCGCCAATCTAATAATCATCAGCTCAAATGGTTACGGTTTTAACTAGACATTATCCCCAAAAGGGGCAAAATTTTAAATATTTGCTAATCTTGGTGAAATCATCTCTTGATATGAATACGGAAATTTCCTCAAGGAGTTTTCAAACCAATGCCCAATGACGTATTCATCGATAAGTCTTACCATTATCGATCATACATTCATAAAAATCATGACTCAAAAAAGAAAAATGTTAAAAACAAATAAATCTCGATTTAACATAAAAACCCCCAAAATTGTTTTGGCTACATAAAATGTTTATAGAGATTTATGATGATTTATCAAAGTCTGCAGTAGTTACACCGGTGTTGAATCTCTGATAGTATTTTTTAAGTTAAAAACCTACCTCGGGACAGAGTAGCACAATTTTGATGGACACACTTTATTTTAATATAAGGCTTGTTGCTCGTAAATGAATCTTTACTCTAAATTTGTGTATTTTTACTTTTCTTCAACTCACACCGTTTACATAGATGATGACTATCCGCCATATAAAATACTAACACTACTAAGAGATTACATGTATATAAAGACGCGCTCTGTCGTCACATATCCTCCCACCTTGAGGTGGAAGACTCAACAGATTTTTAAGTAATAATAAACTTTGATGAAATACTATGAAATAACTAGAACATAAACTGCAAAATAATAAAACAAAGCAAATATTTAAATCCTTTTTTCAAAACAATAAAATTGCTTTTACATGGCGATCTGACCGGATACAAAGATCTGTCTGAACTTCTTTATCAATTCATTTATCTTGATTCAAAGATAAGGAAGGTTTAGTGCTTTTCTTCTTACGTTCACGAACAACTTTGGCTTCTTCCAAAGAATTTATTACCAAAGGAAATATTCGCTGTACTGGTCGTACCAGCTCTCGTGCCGCAGTTTCCAATCGAAGTACACGTACATTTCCATTTTTACCAGTCATCTTCTGATAGGTAAGTAATCGGTCTAGAGTTTATTACTGATCCACAATCATAGAGTGTGATACACATTTCTTCATATGACAGACACGATTTCTTCAGCACTCTGCGTAATAGCGCCTTGATTAAGCGTACTAGACGCTCCCACCATTCACCCTATCAAGCTGCTAATGGTAGATTAAAATGTCAATCTATTTTTTCAACAGTACTATATTTTCTTATCTCGTTCCAATTTATTGTTCGAAGTAAATTTTTGGTTCCCACAAAGTTTGTACTATTGTTACTGTAAATATCAGCTGGTCTACTTTTTTTTCGTGATAAGACGTTGCAGAGCTTCTACAAACGCTTCCGTAGATAATGATGATGTTAATTCTAAGTGGACTACTCGAAATACCGCGCACGTAAATAAACTGATCCAAGCCTTTTGTCCGTCTTTCAGGTACAACGGTCCAGCAAAATCTATACCAATTACTTACTAGAACTGCAGGTGCTGCTTCTACACGCATGGAACTAAACCTTTTGCATGTAATACATTGCTTTATAATTTTTGTACTGCTCTTTTCCCCGTGAGAATCCGAAATCTTCCATTTTTATCAATAAAAGGATTTAAATGATGAATTTTGGAGTCACAGTTATTTCTGAATGATTCTCTTTGTACTAAACACATGACTGTCATTTCTGCATCAGAAAATTCTCTTGCTGCCAATTTACCCTTCTTTCTCAGTTTGATACTTTTTTTTGTATTGAAGATGAAACGTCTTATCCACCCTACTAAACGTACAATCTTAGTGTATTGTGAGAAATATCGAAGATACCAGGAATGTATTTTAAAAGTTGGACTACTCATATTGGTCATCATCAGATCTTCATGTTGCTGCTGAGATGGGATTTTTATCTTTGTTGCAGTTTTCTTCAATTCACTGCATACTTCTTCTTCATTTACTGAATAATCTGTTGTAGGCCATTCATCAGGAGAATTTTTAAGCCACTCAGGAATCTTCAATCATTTCGACTCTATTAACTGCTTGGAAGTGCAACCTCTTGATGGAAGGTCTGCAGGGTTCATTGAACTTGGCATATGACGCCAACGAGAACTATTAGATGTTTTCCCGATTTCTTGAACTCTGTTCCACACAAAAGTAGCCCACTGAGCTCATCTATGAATCTAGGACAACACGGTACTTGAGTCACTTCAATAATATATCTCTACTTGCTCATATTCCAACGTTGTTTGAATGAATCTCACAAGACGAGCACCTATTGTAGATGCTAGGAGTTCTAGTCGAGGAATTGTAATCTTTTTGTTGGAGCTACTGTTGATTTTGCTTCGATCAATCGAATATTTACACCTCTGGATGATTAAAGCCTCGCATAGATTACCGCAGCATAGGCCACTTGGCTCGCATCAACAAATACATGTAATGATAATTTTTGCTCGTCATCAAAACCTTCAAACATCCACCGAGGTATTTTTAAATCTTGTAAAAACTCTTATTGCTCGTACCATTTCATGAATTGCCTTTTAACTTGTGGAGTAACTTCTGTATCCCAATTTAAATTTACTATAATCTGCAATAACACAGGACATGCAAAACCTATGGGATCAAAAACCTTATGACTGACAGCTAATATGACTCTTTTAGTAATCTTCTCTGGTACTGGCTCTATAAGTGATGGTTTTCTTAAAATGACAGTTTCTTCTTTCTTATCTCATGTAAGACCAAGAACTGCTGTTAACCGGGAAGGTTCTTCAGAACGTGAATACTCTTACCCTCTTTAGTCAAAACCTGCCACAACCATTAATTTTATAGCTTCATCCCTGAACTGCTCTAGCTGCTCATATGTGTCAACACTAGTTACACAATTATCTACATAAAAGGACTTTCGAAGCTTTTGGATAATACTTTTCATGTTTTTGGATTCATCTTCGTTGTTTACTCGTTCCAAATAAAATGCAATAACAGCAGCAAGCAGAAATGGACTACTAGTTACTCCAAACACTACTCAAGCATATCTTTAAACTGCTAAAGTGTCTGGCTTATTTCTATTCCACCAAAAGAATCTGAGAGCATCTCTATTCATAGATGCAATACTGATCTGCGGAAAAGCTTTTCTGATATCTGAGATAACACCAATTTTCTTCTCTCTAAAACGTAACAACATGGTAGGAATGAGTTCAATAAAATTTGGGCCTACTTCCGGGCACTGTTTTAGCGATAAACTATTTTTCTCTTTCGCAGACGCGTCAAACACTGGTCTCAATCTTGTAGTACTGTTTTCTTTTAAGACGTGTCTATGGGAAAGATAATGACCCCACTTACCTAATTCTGTGTCTGGTACTATTTCCTCTTTACGCCATTCCTCCATAACTTGATCATATTCTTGAAATGAATTTTGATTTTGCAACTTCTTCGTAGTGACTAGGAGCCTTTTAAAAGCTGAATCTTTATTAGTAGGAAGGGGCGGATAATTGTCTTTCCAGGGTAAGCGTTCTTCATATCGACCATCATCATTTATAATCGTTGTCTGACGAAAATAATCACAAACTTCTTGCTGATGAGCTTCTTCAGATATGGATTGAGCTGGATCAGTGATTCCTATTATATCTAAACGCCAAAAATCAGATATCTCGGCTTCTTGAGCAAACATTGTAGTCACTGCCAGCGCTGTGTCGCTACATCTACTCTCTTCATACGGTTTTTTACCCATCAAGGTCCATCCTAACAATGTTTCAACAGCACTCATTCCGCGTTTCAAATTATATTAGGGCAATTAATTATATGAGATTGAGATTTTGTTTTAGTGCCTTTAAACAACAGATGAACTATCTGGTGTTCCCCATTTGATTCATAACCTATATCATCAACAGCCTGTTTGAGAATATATGACCTTTGTGAGCCGCTGTCTAATGCTGCTCGTACTATGCGTTCTTTTCCATGATTGGTCATTTTTACACGTAATGTATGAAGGAAAACATCTGGTTCTAACGATAAATTAGCAAGATTAGCTTCCCTTATATTCTTCTCATTAACTTCTCTGCTTTCCGATGTTGATTTATCCTCTGCTTTTTGTTTTGACATCTCTCTGCATAGTAAAATAGCATGTTTTTTGCCACACCAATGACACTTCGGTCGAAACTTACAACGACTAATATTATGTCCTGGCGTTAGGCAGCCACAACAACCTCCCTTTTCTTTTACTTCATTTTGTCTTTCTTCTAGTGACATTTTCTTAGCTTTTTTTAGAGATTTCATGTATATAAAGACGTGCTCTGTCGTCACAACAATGATGTCGATCGTAACCGAAGGTTAAAATTCACCAGCTACGTTAGAAAATTAGTTCTTTTCATTTATTTGGCGTTAATTAAAATAATGTTTATGACAACATACTTGAGGTAGTTTGGCATTGGTAAAACTCACAGTTGACTACCCCTTTTTAAAATTTTTTTTGAAAGACCATACCTACATGACTTGAAATAAAAAAAAAGGATTTTTCTACCTCTTTGTTTAGGAGATATAATTACTTGAAGTTATGCAAAAATATATGAGTTCTTATGACTGTCCATGTTCAATTTTACCGGAAATTGATGATTTATAAAAAATTAGCACGGTAACGCGCTTTTTGATACCTGGACAAAATATCCCGGACAAAATATTTTCAAGACAAAATTACTCCAGACACTATAATTTCCTGACAAAATATTCTTAAAAATTGTATATATACAATCGAATAATTTCATACTTTGGCGCTAAAATGTCATTGTGTATTGTAATGCTATCTAGCGTTCAATTATGGAATTATGTTTTGCAATAGTGAAAACCTTGCTATCTATTTTAGTATATTTCGTAATTATATGGAGTGCTGCTATTTTTATGAGCTAGTATTTCTATTGTTTCTAAGCAATATTTGTGAATTATTTATTAGAAATTTTTAAATCAAATCAAGTTATTGAAAGACCATTCTACACAATGCCTCTAAAATTTGTGTTGTCACAAAAAGGTAAAAACTTATTATTATATGAAGGAATTTTATACACACGGAAGAAGGTGAATAAAAGTAATGTATCGTGGCGTTGTGCTTCTGATTCCAATTGCTATGTAATAATTCATACAGACAGTGAATTGAAAACAGGTATTATTTTATTTTATTAGTTTATATGTATTCATTGTTGAATAAATAATATTTGTCATTTTAATGGGTCCATTTCAATGGGTACAGGCAATAAGTTGGTGAAATACCAAAACACGAACATGCTGGAAATGCTGCTTTAGTGAAAACGAAGATTATCAAAAGTCAAGTAGTAAAGAAAGCTAAAGGAAACGATTCAAAACCTGCTACGATCGTGTCCAAGGTATTACGAGGTATATCATCACCGGTCACTGCGTTATTGCCAAAGCCAATATCTTTAGTTTGAACTGTGCATCGTGTACGTGTTAAAAAAAATCCTCAATTGAGTAATCCGTTATCTCGAGGTGAATTAGAATTACCAAACCAGTTTAAATGTACACACAATGGAGAGTCATTCTTACTTCACGATAGCGGTGGATCAAAAAGAAGATTTTTGGTGTTCACAACACTCAAAAATTTAAATTTTTTAAGTAAATGTGATCAATGGCTGGGTGATGGTACATTCAAAAGTGTACCGAGTATTTTTATGCAATTATATACCATTCATGGTTTCATGAATGGTATATCAGTGCCACTTGTTTATTTATTATCACCTGATAAAACGAAATCTACTTATATAAAATTTTTGAAGGTGTTACGTCAAAGTTTGCCAAATTTTTCACCTAAGCGTATTGTAGTCGATTTTGAAGAAGCATTTATTGAAGCTTTTAAAGAAATATATTCAGGAGTGAAAATATCTGGGTGTAGTTTCCATTTTAATCAATGTATTTGGCGCCACATTTAGTTATGTGGGCTCCAAAAACTATACAACACAGATATAACGTTTGCTTATAACATACGCTTACTTATGGCATTACCATTTCTTCCGACTGATGATGTAATATGTGGTTACGAGTTAATTGTAGGTAGTGACTATTATGATCGTTATAATGATGAATTGAATACATTACTCGAGTATTTTGAGATAACGTGGATTGGTAAGTCACGTCACAATAGAAGAAAACGCGATAAGCCAAGGTTCAATGTTAAAATGTGGAATTGTTATAAAGCTGTTTGTAATGATTATATTAGATCAAACAATTTAATGGAAGGATGGCACAATGGTTTCAACCGCCGTGTTGCTGTTTGTCATGCATCTATTGGACAGTTTCTAAATGCAATTAAAGATGAACAGTGCAAAACTGAAATGTTAATCGCTCAAATAGATTCAGGATTAAATGTCTCAATATCTCGTCGTAAAGCCTATCGTGACTATGATAATCGATTGAAAAGCATTGTTATGAATTACAACTCCGATTACAAATTAGAATACTTGAAAAATATTGCAAAAGTACTATCAATATAAGGTTGTAATTGAGATAAATTTTTATTTAACACTGTTATAAACAATATAATTAATGTTATTTCTACGTTTTTATGTAAAATAGAAAAAAATGTTTTTTTTATAGATTCGATCAAAGAAAGTATTTATTATGTGAAAATTTAAGATAACATGAGTGGTTCCGTAACTATTCGTCCGACGACAATAAATCCGCGACATTACATCCGTTTGAAGAAATGCGTGTTTAATAAGCCGAGCAAATGTGAATATTGGGTTATACAGAATATTTGGTCTGCTTTTTAACCCCCCCTCCCCGCTCCCCCCGCATTTCTTCAAACGGATGTAATGTAGCGGATTTATTGTCGTCGGACGAAGTAGCGTGTCACCACATGAGTAGTATATAGTCATTTACTTTACTTTTTTTATAAAATTGATCAAAAAAGATATTTACTAAGTAAAAACATGTGATAATGTGAATATTGTTATCTATAACGGCATACTAAGTCAATGTCAATATTACGTTCCTGTATAGGTTAGACTAAACCAATGTTAATTTAAAATTATTATTAATAATATGTAATCTCGACAGTACAGGAAGAAGTAAATATTTTTATATGAATTTGACATAAACATGTCTTAAGTTGAAACATGAAGTATTATAAATGTAATTTCTAACAGTTTAAAAAAAATACAAAAAATAAAATAATCCATGTAATTTACATAATATCTATTTATTTTATTAGTATGTAGAGACTATAAGAATTTTTTTAAGATATTCTGTCAATGGGATATCTTGTATGAAGTCATTTTGTCTCAGGGATATTTTGTCTTGGGGATATTTTGTGCGGAAATATTTTGTCCGGGATATTTTGACGGGGATATTTTGTCCAGGTATCAAAAAGCACCGAAACAATTGGCACAGTTGACCCACAGTAAAAAACAACTTGATACAAAAAATATTACTTGAAATGTATTTAAGTTAAATTTCAACATGATTTACCACACAGTTTTTTTGAAATTTATGTTTTAACATTGCAACTCGGTGTTTGCCTTCGTTTTTCCACCATATTTGCTAGGAAAAATGGCGGCAATGTTAATCAAAACAATTTATATAAATTAAAGTTTTTCTTCTATTATTGTTTTGACGTAGAGTAACATAATATAGTTTTTAAGTGAATGTCTGTAAGTATGTATGGACGTATGTACGTTCGAAATTATTTTTTGTTTCGATCATCTCGACAACATACAATGATATCATAGAACCAAGTTTATTTAACACATAATTACGTAACTTGATCCTGATTAGATTTTCAGCAATGTCGGTGGAGCTGTTTGTTTCGCAGAAAAAAAAACTAAAAAGTGAACTTTCTAAATTTTGCTAGGAATAAATGATATGATCTGAACATCTGCACGGTAAAATAATAGTCATAATTATATAATATAAATGTTTATATAAATAGTATAAAAATAATTAACTGAATAAAAAAAAGATAGATTTCGCTATAACAATAACATTTGTTATAAAAAATCAGAAATAGATTCCACTAAAGATTTTAGCACAGTTTTAACAAAAACTGTAACTAACTGTGCTGACATTCAGATGTTGCCAAATTCACTTAAGTTCTCCCCACTCTTCGGTGTTCACCGATGACAGACGCAACCGAGATTCAGAATTTGGTAACGCTGCAACCAGAAAACTATTGCGGCGAATCCCTCATTGGGTGACCAACGTCGTTAGGTTACGCATAGTGACCAATCGAAGGTTAATGTGAATCAGAATAAACTTAATGATCTTATGTGGGAAAAATTGGGAATCTACATGGATAAGTTATTTTATTTGTTCTTAAAATATCATCATAATTCTACAAATAGAAGATTTTAATCAGCCCATGTCACCTTGTTGGTAACTTTCTGATAGTCGAAGAAAAATTGTTCCGTTAGAAAAATTCGAATTTACACTCAAAAAATTGTTTAATTGATATTACCTATAAATTTTTAGTTATTATGGAATAGTTATCATAACCCTTTTTTTTATTTTGGAATACTGAAAATTAAGTCTTCTTGAAAAAAACACAGTAAGTTATCATAACTAAAAAAGTTTAAATCAAAATTTTTGTAATTAGTACTATATTTTTATTACCATAAGTCGATAGTCATTTTGACTAGGCTTCTATTGTAATATAAACCAGGAACATTTGGTTTATATATATTTTAACATTATAAGTTATATTATGACTTATAAGTTATAATATAACTTATAAGTTCTTTTCTATAGTATTTAAAAAAGGAAGTCACTATAAAATGTATTTGTAAATACATGTCTATATATATACATATACTTATGAATAACAGTTTACAGTGTTATAACTCCTCAGCTATAGCCCACCACACATGCAAGCGTTTCAGCATGTATGCGCTCGTAGCACGCCTAGGCACTCGTAGCGCGCCAAGGCGCTCGTAGACGCGTCAAGGCGCTCTATGCACGCGCTAGCGCTTACAAGATGCGGCGTCGAAATGCCTGCATATGTGGTAGCTCTATATCTGTAATCTTTAATTCTACTTGTATTTACTACAGTTGTATATATCATCTCCTTTATTACATATCTTATTATCTCATATACTTAATAAGTAAAAATAATAATGTAGAACGGAACCTTCATTTTATTTCACCTAGGATTTCTAAGATTTTAAGATCAACAATAAGTGCGAGTGAGAAATGTAGTGGAGATAGAAAATAAATCGAGAAGAATAAAACACAAGTCCCACTGTGTTATATTTTTATGATGATTCTTTCTCGAACTAAATTCTTGAAAAAAAAATTCGTTGACTTCGTTTCAAGTCACACCATTATAATATTTATAAACAGTGTTTGTTATGATTCTTGAGTCCGTGCGGACTGGTGTGCTTTACCATGGTCAAGTACACTGGTTTTAGTATATATTCATTTTTTTTCGGGGAATCGTATCATCGATTGATACATACTCACACTTATAAAGCTATACAAAAAATATACATAAACAAAAAAGTAACACACATCAAATTTTACTAACACATCTAAAACCTAATGTTTCGCACGTTCGTCGTATAATTAGAGACGCTGCATCTTAAGTGTTAACATCGTTACGCACAATATTAGTGTCTTTTCAGTTTTTCTAAAAGCATTCAGGTGTTATCTCTTGCAATTTCTAAGTGATAATTGTGATCAAACAGTGTAATTACTTATTATTAATAGTGTAGTTATTATTATTGTTCATTGGTGATAAATATGGAGGATACCTTTGTTGAGGATCATTTGAAAGAGTGAGGCTTAGAACAACTGACTGAAGAATTTGATCGTAAGTAACATTTTTGATTAATATTTGATGTTTTATTCTTTTAAAGTAAAAATATAAGTGAATATTACAATAAATAACTTCTGGTAAATAATGTCTTTAAAGTGGAAAAAGAATTACGTTATAAGTCTCACGTTGTAAAATTTTTTCTTTGTTCCAATTATTCTTTGTTAACCTATATTTAAACTGATTTATAATATTTAACCTATTTATGTAGAACAAAAAATTGATCGTGAAACTTTTTTGACTATTCCTGAAGAAGGCATTAAACAAATAATTCAGACAATCGGTTGGAGATATACATTTTTACGCAAACGTGAAGAATATTTAGCAAGAAATGCTGTAAGTTTGTTATTAAAAAGTAATTTAAATAGATTATTACAAAGTTCCATTTCCTGTTTCAAGTTTAATTACTTATTTTATTTTTTTATAAACGCTGAAAACGAAAATGTAGACGCCAACAAACGACCCCATACCTATAACGTCAACGAATACTAATTCTTTGGAAAGTAATATAAATAAAGATAACAATGAAGAGGTTGATGTAATGTCGAATTAAGAGACTAATATATCAGATAAAAATAAAATCAATACATCGAATGAATCTGATGGACAGGTACATGAATTAGATTATTATAATATTCTGTATATTTGTGTCAATTTGTAAAAATACTGTTTTGTTTTCTACCGACTAACCTATTTTACTATAATTTTCTTAATGAATTTTTGTTCGCCAATATCATTGCTTACTTGAAAGATAAAAATTGATAATTATATTCATCACCTTAATAACCGAAAATTATTTTTATTTTTAAAATGAATTTTTACAGGCCTTAAGAAAGCTATTGGAATCTAATGTGGTGGGGCAAGAGTTACTAAAACACACCAATCGTTTGAATGCAGATGATCGAGGTCTTTTGGTCACGATAATAATCGAACATCAAATGTTCATTAAATTCAAATTCGTTTTATTTTTTGTTTATTTCATTATTTTCGTGATAAATAGATCAATAAATAGTATATCATCATAAAACCTGATTTGATAATTTAATGATTAAAAAACTTTTTTTTAACTTGACTTTTTTAAAAGTTTAACAGACTAGAAAGTGATTTTAATCAATTTACTACATTCTACGTAATAAGAAATAATTATATTAAAGTGATTTTTTTTTTCTTATACTACAATGCTAAATCTACAATGAAAAACTTATTTTCTATTGTCAAGTATAGCTATTTTTAATGGATAACATTCCACGTAGATTTTTTCTACCTTTAAAATTTTTCGATGATAATAAATGTATGTACAAATTGACAATAGATTATTTACAATTAATTTCATTTTTTAGAATAGTAAAATAGGAGTTTATTTATTGGGCGGATCAGATTGTTGCTGTATTTCCTAATGAAAGACGTGAAACCTATTACATCCCATATGAGAAAGATGAAAGCTCAGCAGCTGGCAAACTTTATGATGAATTTTCAAATTTGAAAAAAAAGCTGAATTCTATTAAACCATCAAGTACCAAGTCTACTGAAAAAGTCACAACCACCTTAGATAGATCAGATGTTGACAAATTAAATAATGTGTCTTTGGAGAATCATGGAGAAATTAAAGACTTGTGGATCAAGACTCATTCGTTTCGAATGGTTGAACTGAAAGAAGTAGAGAGTACCAGTAGTTATATTAAACTATATCCCATGTTAGCAGATCCTATTGGATCATCATTGGTAAATCATGTTTATTTTTATAATTAATAGAAAGTATACACAATATCAATACTATCAAATTATTTTTTAACAACAATATTATGTATACATACCTATTTATATTTATACACACGTATATACATAATTGATGATAATGATCTTAAAACGCTGATTATTTTTGTAACTATTTACAGATTAATTTGGATTTCATCAATTTACATAATTCTGTGGATGAAAATATTTTTATGAAGATTTGGCCTGAATTTAGTCATAAATTGATACAGATTGCTAAGAAAAAATCAGCTTGCAAGAATATCTTAAAAAATCTAGGTAACAATAGATTATTCATACTTAACTTGTGGTTTAAGCTTTTTTGGTAATTTTATGTATTACAGACATTTTCCTTCCCGAACTATAGATTCTGGAATATCAATTGACATCCAAAGCCTCATCATTTTTCCATATTTATTTCGACCAACTCAAGTTAAATCGGAATCAGGCAATAAGTGGACGCCCACGTACAAAGAGCAAGCTAACGTAAAATTTTTTTTTAGTCACTATTTAATGATTAAATTTAGTTACTAATACTCAAAATTATTTGGTATTTGTAACTATAAAATATTAATTATATAAAGCTATAGGTATCGTAACTAAATGATTATAGTATGAACATTAGTTACGTCAACAATTTTTCTTGTCATCACAAGCCTTTTTTTTTAGTTATGATAACTAAAAAAATTTGTTTGATGCCGTATTTAACCAAAAATTTTGGTAATATTCTGGTAATAATAACCAAAAATTTTTTTCAGTGTATTCTAGAGATCTCGTTTTTAATTGTCTAAAACAAATTCATTAGTAATTAACGAATATAATCCATTTAGATCGATATTCAATCGTTAGTAATCCTATTACAGTCAGCAAACAAATTTTTCATTAGAAAAACTCAAATTTATTGCATATAACAAATTCAATTATTATAAACAAATGAAGTTCATTCAGTTCTATGTTATGTCGTAAGTAACTTTATTTTAGTCAAAGAAAAAATTTTTCGTTGGAGAAACTTGAATATGTTGCATAGATCGAATTTATTATGTGGATCCTGTTCTCAATTGTTTGTAATCAGTTCAGGTGTTATAAACGAAAAAAGGTTTTATTGAACTCTAATGATTCAGAACATAATTCATGTCAAGTAATTTATTAATATGGATGATATAGTGTGAATGAAAATTGCGTGAATAACAATATCGCGTCAATGACGATATGGATCACGTAGCGTGGATAATGGCATTCGTTTTAATTCAGTTAACGCGTCGTTCACGCATTTATCGTGATTCACGCGAGCCTCCATCATTCAAGTTTTTCTGTACATTTAGACACCTTGTTATATTTTATGCTCATCTAATTTCTTTCCACTGAAAAAAATGGGACGACGAAAGATTGTTCGGTCAGTTGAAGGAGAAGAAGAGTTCCAACGTCTAAGACGTCAGAGAAATGCTGAAAATCAGCGTAAACGTCATCAACAAAAAATACAAAGTTGTTTAGTAGATAATAATTCAAATTCCAATATAAATAGAGTTTCGTCGGATCATATTTGTTTATAAGTAACAAAATCCAGTCAACAATTTATGAATAACAATGATAATTTATTCATTAGTAATAATGATTTAGTTGTAAATCAATCATTATTAAGTACTGATAATTCATCCGTTAGTAATAATCATTCAGTTGTAAATCAATCATTATTAAGTTCTGATAATTTATCTGTTAGTAATGATGATTCAGTTGTAAATCAATCATTATCAAGTAATAATAATGTTTCTGCACGAGAGCGACAACGACTATGCCAACAAAGAAGAAATACAATTTCAGTAATACAAAATCAAAATGTAAACGATATTAATGAATACTTTACTGGAGAAATGGATGTTTTATGCAAACATTGTAATGCAAAACATTTCTCTCAAGAAAAAGTATTCGCTTAAGGTAATTCATTCAATGATTGTTGTAATCATGGAAAAGTTCCTTTTTAGCGTCCACCATCTATTCCCGATAAACTTCGTATGTTATTTGATTATTCCGATCCAAATTCTCAAAATTGTCATGAACAAATACGCGTTTATAATTCTTCGTTTTCATTTGCATCTTTCAATGCTAATTTGATCAACTTTCAATCAAGACGCCCTGGTCCTTATTGTTTTAAGATTCAAGGTCAAGTTTACTATCAAATAAATGCAAGTCTTTACCCACAATCAGACGATTCGCCCAGTTTCGGTCATTTATTCATCATTGATTCTAATGAAGCAATAACTAATCGTTTAGCAACTAATTCACAACTTAATGTGAATATTTTGCAAGATCTTGATAAAATCATGCGCGACCATAACATGTTTGCGAAATTTCATCAAATGATGCATGAAGAAGTCAAGAAACAAGAAGAGTTAGCATTGCAATCCAATTATTCAAATACTCCAAAGATGGAACTACTTTTTACGCTTAAACCGGGTGTAGATCGTAGAAGGTTTAATTTGCAACAAGTTAATGGAGTTGCTGCTATTTTTACTACCACTGCAGATGGAAAAATTCCAGAATCATACGTAAGTATACGCAATCGAAGGACAAAAGAATTACAATATATAAGAACAATGAATCCAAATGTCGAACCCTGAATTTATCCTTTATTTTATTCATATAGTTTTCCCGGTTGGCATCAAAATACAATGAAAATTAGTGAAAATAAACAAGTTTCTCGAGCAGCTTATGTGAAATTCCTAATTTCCATACGCAATGACGAATTTAATGTATTTCTAAGAGGAGGTCGATTATTTTAGCAATGGTTAGTTGATAATTATGTCAAAATAGAAAAAGATCAAATGACATATCATAAAAATCATCAAGCACAAATTAGAGTTAATATGTACCAAGGAGTTCATGATCATTTACAACGTATAGCAAATGATTCTAATAGTCGTATAGGAAAAGTTGTAGTTCTCTCGGCAACATTTACAGGATCACCACGCAATATGTTTCAGAATTATCAAGATTCAATGGCTATTGTACGCAAATATGGTAAACCAGACTTATTTGTTACAATGGCTTGTAATCCTCATTGGAAAAAAATCACGGTAATTTGCTTCCTAATCAAATTGCTTTTGATAGACCAGATCTTTGTGCGAAAGTATTCAATTTAAAAAGAAATCATTTGATTGATTTAATTGTTGAAAAAAAGTTTTTCGGGAACGTCGCTGCATATGTATATGTGATTGAGTTTCGAAAAAAAGGATTACCACATATTCATCTATTAATAACATTAAATTCGAATTCAAAAATGACTACTCCAACAATTGTTGATCGTTATATCTCTGCTGAAATTCCAGATCCGAATAAAAATCCTATTTTACATGATATTGTTATGAAAAATATGATTCATGGACCATGTGGAAATTGGTGTTTAATAAATAATAAATGTTCTAAACATTTTCCAAAAGACTTTTAAGATAAAACAATATTGGGTGGTGACGGTTATCCTCCATATCGACGAAGGAATATTGTAAAATATTTGTATGTCGCCATCTAATGACTATTAGACTAACGACAGTTTGTTAGTTAACAACGATTGCTTGACGATTGTTTATAGCAACGAGGGGAGAGTTTGTTTATCTCCAGTTTTTGTCTGAGACTTGAGTTGACCGCACGGATTCTTACTTTTAATTAATTGCTGTCAATCATTAATAAACATTTCAATTAATTTACTAATTTTCCGAAGTTGTTATTGAGTCTTATTTTACAATATTAATAAAACTCATAATCGATCTAATGTATATATAGTTGATAATCGTCATGTTGTCCCTTATTGTCTTCATTTAATTATGATATTTAATTGTCATATCAATGTGGAAGCTGTGGCAAGTATTAAATCTGTAAAATATCTATTTAAATATGTATATAAAGGGCATGATTGTGCAACAGTAACTGTAGGTGAAACATCGTCAGATAATTCGGTTGTTGACCATGATAAAATAAAAAATTATATTGAAACTCGATATGTAAGCCCAATTAAAGCTACATGGCGAATTCTAAGTAAACCATTGCAAAAACAAAGTCATTTTATTGTTAGATTGCCTTCACATTTACTAAATCAACAGAGTATAACGATTGATATTGAAATGAATGAAGATGAAATGACTAACGCATTAGCAGATAAAACAACAATGTTGACTGACTATTTTAAATTAAATTCAACTGATGAACTAGCAAAGCAGTATATATATCCTGAAATTCCTCAACATTATGTTTTTAAAAAGAAAAAAATTGATGGACGAAATATTACAAGTTGGGAAGAACGAAAATTACACTTTAATACAATTGGACGTATGTATTCTGTTAGTCCTACTCAAACTGAATTATTTTATCTTCGATTGTTATTATTATCAGTAAAATGAGCTACAAGTTATCAGAATATTAGAACATTCAATAATATTCTATATTCATCATATTTTGAAACTTGCATAGCACGAGGATTAATTGAACATGATGATAAATGGCAAAACGCAATGCATGAAGCTGAAGTTTGGAAGATGCCTTTAAGTTTACGTAGATTATTTGTTCGTATTTTAATTCATTGCCAACTTCAACATCCAGACAAGTTATGAGAAGAGTTCAAAGACGCAATGTCTGAAGACTATACATGAAAATATGGTTTCATCAATCCACGGAATTAAAAAAGCATATTTACGAATAATTTTAATGCTTCATGCTGGAGATCGAAGTTTAGCTGATTATCCTACGATGGAAAAAATCAATGAAATAGATGGAATCGATAATGAAGTATCTATTGATGAAGCAAGAGAACTTGGATTAGAACAATATAACAAATTAAATGAAGAACAAAAAGTTATTGTTGATACTATTTTAAATCTGCAAACTAATGATGATAATAATATAAATCCAAATCATAACGAGGAAAATTGTTTTCATATCGATGGACCTGGTGGATTAGGAAAAACGTTTATTTATACTACTTTATGGTATTTGTTAAGAAGTCAACATAAGAAAGTTAGTACCATGGCATACACAGGAATTGCAGCTACTTTGCTGCCTAATGGTAAAACTGTTCATAGAACATTTGGTTTACCTGTACCTATGTTTTCGGATTCATCATCGAATATTAAACTTCAATCCAAAGAAGGAAAATAATTATTAGAAACTTCATTTGCGATGAAGCCCCCATGGCACCAAGATATGCGTTAGAAATAATGGATAGAACATTACGTGATATAACCAATAAGAAAGATGTAGCTTTTGGTGGTAAAATTGTTGTTCTTGGTGGTGATTTCAGACAACTTCTACCTGTTAAAACCCACAGTACTCGAAAAGAAACTGTAAATCTCTCAATTAAATTCAGTTCGTTATGGAAAAACTTTCAATTATTTTTATTATCACAAAATATCCGAGTATGACCTGAGGTAGTTGAATTTGCAGAGTTCTCATTAAATCTAGGTAACGGAACTTTGAATGATAATGAAGGTAACGTCCAGATACCATCATGTTGTTTAGCTCACGTTGATGATGATATAATAAATAATACTTATGGCGATTTATTTCGGCAAAAGAAATTTAATGAAGCTACAAAATGTGCAATACTTTCAGCTCGGAATATAGATGTTGATGAAATTAACAAAAAAGTGGTCGAATTGTTGTTGTGATACCTTGAATTATATCCATATAACCGCAAATCAGACTGTGAATGAATTCGAAAATTTTACTCTACTTACTTTTCCTCTAAATTTGCAATTATGGAGCGTAATTTTATTCTCAATTTCAACTGAATTAAACTCTAAATTAAAAAAAATTGATTTAGAATTGTAAATATTCAACAAACAATATCAATCATGAGAAAAATTAGAATTGTGATTGTTCTAACTTGGAGGGGCCCAAGTCAGTTGGTCAGAAATATTAGAAAATTGTTAATGCCGGACTTGTCCACCGGCGCGTCAGTCAACTCACTGGACCAATCATCGGGAAGTATTTCCCTCATGGCCCAGAAGGCAACTCTACGGCCCTAGTGACGCCAACAAGCACGCGGTCGAGCACTTGTGGCGTCAGTTAGCTCCAGGCAAATCACGCGGTCATCTCTCTATAACTTTTCGCAGTCGAATCGCAGATTTTTTAGTCAGCTCACCTTTTGTAGTTACAAGTACGGTCAAATAGACTCAGACAACTCTCACGAAGATACGTGAATCATCAAATCACTCTCATCAGTGCCAGTGGTCCAGTATATTCAGTTGTAGTGTCTTTGGGCGCGAAGCTGAACTGGCGTCGACGCCATAGTGCCTCACGGACATTCACCTATACATCGCTCCCCCGAACAACTCTGGTGTATACTGTGAATGTTGCTTTTCACTGTTTTTTGAGACTATGTTATTTGGTGAAAAAATAACCATTAGACAACTCATAAGTGTACAAACAATTATGGTACAGTCAACTCAACTATATGTAGTGATTATTAAATTCTATTGAGTATGTTAAGTGTTATTGTTGAATAAAAACTATAAAACCCAAGCCATTCAGTGTTAATAAACTATATTTTAGAACCTTCTAGCATCCAACCTTTTGTTCTTATTCTGCTCTTAATTCATACAGTCCACTAGTTTTCAGTTTGCTCATTCGGCCGACTCGAAGTCAGGACATTTGGTCCTTCGAGCCGGATAAGAACGGCTTGGATGCATATCGAACAACTCTAGAAGGTTCTAGGGCTTCATAATTGTTGTGAATATTTTGTGAGATGCTTTGTATAAAGTGCTTGGAATTTAGATAGACTCAAATAACTTTCAGTGTCAGTGTGTAAACAACCTTACAGACAAAAGGTGTTTACGCATTCCAGTGCCCAGTGACACTCATTTTTATTATTGTGAGACAGTGGTGCTCATCTCACAACTTGAACAATTTCTTGAGACGCTTGGCGCGCAGTTTGGTTGTGTGAGAGTCAAGAGAACCTTGACGCAGTCAACTCACGTGTATATAAACATAGTTCGGTAATTATTGTAGTGTTCTTAGTGTAAGTTTAGTCACCTAAAATTATTAGTAAGAGCTCGTAGACTCAGTTAATTAATTGTGTAATTCTTTTGGTGTATAGACTTTATTGAAAGCCCACCATTGGCATCAAGGTGACAACAGACAACTCTAGCAACATTTTGTGTGGATTTTCTTAGTGATAAGTGTAAGTTTAGTGACATTAGACAACTCACTCAACTGAACTATGGCAGACAAACGGTTAATTTCGCCTGCAAAATCGGACTACGTTGATGTAGCCGAAGACAATGAGTCAGTTGAAGGTATTAGTGAGATATTAGAGCAAGTGAGTGTAAGCCAAGCACCATCACCAGTTCCAGTCGACTCTCAGGCAGAAGGTACCAGTGGAACAACACTTAAGGTACCCGAAAAAGCAACAACATTACGTGACAGGTCCAAGTCACCACCTGCACTGGCAAACACCACATTGTTTAAATTGACGTCTCAAATGTCCAGGTATGAGCAGCTTCAATTTATGCAGCAAGACGTGGCTGATCTTGTGCGACAGCCTGCTCTCGTCACAATGCCCATAATCGAGGCGAAGCTATCACAACTCAATGACCTCTGAACATACTTCGTGGTGGAGCATGAGGCATTAGGAGTAGGGTGTCGGTTGACACTATTTAAACACCAGTATATGACCGACAGAGTGTATGAAAGTGCTTTACGGCTGCATTACCATATAGAGTCAACTCTCCATCGTGTAAAATCAGAGCTACACGAGAAAGACATCCAGAAGGCCATCGATGATTACAAAGCCTCTACACAGCAGACAACTCCAATCATATACCGACAGGCAACTCTCCCAGAGATCCCTCTCCCAACATTCGCAGGCGACTCATCAACGTGGACGCAGTTTCGGGACATGTTTACGTCCCTCGTTTACGATCGGGAAGATCTCAGACCAGTAGCCAAACTACACTACCTGAAGGCCAACGTATCAGGTCCCCCACTTCAACTGATCCGTCATGCCGTAATGAATGATGATGGGTATGAGCCAGCATGGAATCAGCTCAAGGCCAGGTACGTTGACCCAGAACAACTCATCTTTGCCTACATCAAGGACCTGTTCAGTGTGACCACACCATCATCAAAGTCAGCTGAACAACTCGACAACCTGGTGGGAGTAGTACGGCAAAACTTGGATGCCTTGAAGGCTCTCAATGTACCTACAGACGCTGCAAATTATTTTCTGGTGTACCTGGTGGCCAGTAAATTGGAGCAACCGCTACGTGAGTCATGGGAACTCGAGCGAAGTCTGTCTCGCTCACCGACAACTCTAGACAGTCTACTCAACTTCATCTCAACCAGGGCACGTGCGATGGAGTCAGCTCAAGATGCAGCTCGTCAAGCAAAACGGTGGCCTACTCCAGTGATCACCAAAAGGTCCAGATCACAACAACAGTCTACTCAACAGCAGACGACTCACCCACAGACAACTCGAGCCTCCAGGCATGCGGCGCAAAAACGACAAGCAGACTACCCGTGTGATCAATGCAGCAGTTTGGATCACTATTTGGTTGACTGCAAAGCGTTCGCAGGACTTTCACAACACGAAAGGTACAAGCTGGTCCTCGCAGCACGGCTGTGGTTCAATTGCTTCGGCCACCACTCCATCCAGGTGTGCCAGTCAGAGAAACGATGCAGCACGTGCAACTTAAAGCACCACTCAATGATACATACGCCCAATACAGAGTCCTTGAGAAAAAGAGGATATGGCCCTGGCCAAGAACCGCAGTCGACTCACAGCAGCCAATACCCATCAACCTCCCAGTGAGATGACGATGTGCCATTTCCACAGCCGACTCCAGATCCCACCCATTCATCTAAGCAGACTTCTCACCAGGTAACTCATCATCATAGTCAACTCTCTGCAGTCAACTCTAATTATGTTTTAGTCAATTATCCAAGTGGTGGTGTGATCACTCAACATGCAGACAACTCAATGATTAATGGTTATGAATCATGTCAATCTATATGTGCTGACAGGAGTAAAGAATGCTTCTCTGATGACTCGACGGAAAGGATGACCTTAGCACATGAGGTGTCGGCCTCAGGAGGGTTGAGGGTCCTGGAAGAAGAGTCAGAAGGTCTCGTTCGATCTCCTACAGCTGAAGAAAAAAGTCAAACTCACACTAGTCAAATCTCAGACGACTCACATGATTCAACACTCACCAAGAACACTACAGACAACTCAGATATCAATGGAAGACTCTCTTCAGCACTCAGGGCAGCAGAAGATCCATGCACTAACGAGTCTCCAGTTCAATCAGACAGCTCAGCAGTCTTACTCGCCACAGCCAATGCAGTATTACTTTCAGACTACTCTCAGCTTCCAGTAAGACTCCTGATAGACTCAGGGTCTGAGCTGACGTTCATCTCATCAAGTGTGGTAAAGACTTGTCATCTTCAACGTCGTCCATCAGTAATATCAGTGCTGGGAATTGGTAACGAACCAGCTGTACAAACTAGAGGAGTGACAACAGTGACACTTAGATCAACTCACACACAGGAGCAAGTTACAATTAATGCTCATATCCTCAAATGTGTCACTGGTACTTTACCAACCAGACAACTCAAGGAACTCAACTGGTCAGCTCTCAACTCTCTGCAACTTGCTGATCCAGACTACTCAACTCCAAGACCCATTGACATCTTAATAGGAGCAGATTGTTATGGTCTGATTGTGAAGGCTGGCATCAAACAATTTCCGCAGTCATCTCTCATAGCCCAAGATTCACTCTTTGGATGGATGCTCATTGGAATGCCACAACAGACAAGATGCTCAACTGTGAGAACTCATCACGCAGCAAGGGTCAACTCATACCAGCAAGTATCTGATCTCTTGACAAAATTCTGGGTTCAAGAAGAAGTTCCAGAGACTTCAGCCAGCCAACTCAGCCCAGATGATCAATCTTGTGAAGATCATTATGTTACGACTCATTCAAGAGATCAAGATGGGAGATATATTGTGAGATTACCACTCAAAGCATCACCATCTCTTCTAGGCAACTCATCAGCGAGAGCTCATCAGTGTGTACTACACATGATCAGACGACTCACAAAGAATGACTCATATGCACAACTCTATCACAACTTTATGCAAGAATACGAGTCACTGAACCACATGACACGAGCCAAGGCAAGTCCAGTCAACTCTCCAGTGTATTATTTGCCTCATCATGGTGTCTTAAGAGAAGACAGTGTTACTACAAAGCTTAGGGTAGTATTTAATGGCTCTAGTCCATCGTCTAGTGGTCTATCAGTGAACGATATTCAACATACTGGTGCCAAAGCCCAGAAAGACATTGCAGACGTACTCATTTGGATCAAGCAGCATAAATTTGTGTTTACATCAGACATCACAAAGATGTACAGGCAAATCAAAGTCTACCAAGATGATTGGGATCTCCAGAGAATCCTGTGGGTGGACGAGCACTCCAAGATAATCCCATATCAACTCACAACGGTCACGTATGGTACCAGGTCAGCCCCATTTCTGGCTGTTCGTACAATGATCCAGCTAGTAAAGGATGAAGGTCATAAGTTCCCTCTAGCTGTTGATCCACTACTAAAAGGAAGATATGTGGACGATATTTTTGGAGGTGCTGACACCGTGAGTCAACTGATAGACATCTCAACCCAAGTCAGACAACTCTGCATGGCAGGTGGTTTCCCGTTGGCGAAATGGCACAGCAACTCACTTCAATTCCTTCAATCAATTACAGACAACTCATCAGAAGAGCAGATCCACTCATTTGAGAGCAGCAAAACGAAATTACTTGGGCTCTCGTGGATTCCAGCGAACGACTCATTTAAGTTCAACTCAAAACCTCCTCGTGAGAAGTCCAAGCTCACAAAGAGAATAATTTTATCCGAAACAGCACAACTCTACGATCCACTTGGATTTCTAGCACCCTTCATTGTCAGAGCAAAGATGTTGCTACAAGAAATCTGGCTAGATAAACTGTCATGGGATGACCAAGCCCCAGATCACATCATCACCAAGTGGAACAGCTTCAGATCAAAACTCTCACATGTTTCAGACCTCTCAATTCCACGATGGTTACGGATTACTCAGAAATCGACCGTGGAACTTCATGGTTTTTCAGACGCCTCACAAGCAGCTATGGCAGCTGTTGTTTACATACGGGCAACTCATCCAGATCATGGAACTTGTTCAACTATAGTCTGCTCAAAGTCTAAAGTTGCTCCACTGAAGAAGATGTCTATTCCTAGACTAGAACTCACCGCAGCATTGCTGCTTGCCAGACTAATCACTTATGTAAGGAACAACTTAGACATTCAGCCAACTCAACTCGTATGTTGGACAGACTCCTCAGTGACTTTGACCTGGATTCAGTCTCACTCATCCCGTTGGAAGGAGTTTGTAAGAAACAGAGTGTCAGCAATTCAAGATCTCACTCCAATCAGCGTTTGGAGGTTTGTACCTGGCAAACAAAATCCAGCGGATTGTGCTTCTCGAGGTATCAGCATATCCCAGCTTCGGAAGCACCCCCTGTGGTGGACAGGACCACAGTGGTTAACAGCAGACGAATCATTATGGCCAACTCAATCATCAGTGTACGATTCAAAAGCTCAGCAGGAAGAGCGGCCCGGGCTCACTTTACTTACTCAGACAATTCAACATGATTATCATTGGGATATGATATACAGACATTCTCGGCTAATCAAATTGCTCAGAGTGACTGCAATTTGCTTCAGATTCAGCGAACTCCTCAGACGAGTACCGCAGTCATCTCTCACCTTCCCTCTCACGCCACAAGAATTAGAGAGAGCAAGGATTTTTTGGATAAAGGCAACTCAAGAATCGTACTTCTCACAAGAAATCAAGCAGATCAACTCAAATTCACTGCCCGTCTCACACCCCCTCGCACGATTGACAGCATTTATTGACACTCAGGGAGTCATACGTGTTGGAGGGAGGTTAGCAAATGCTAGCTTGGACCAAGAAGCAAAGCATCCTGCAATCCTACCACAGAAAACTCATCTTTCCAGGCTAATCATTGCGGATGCTCATAAAAGAACATTGCACGTTGGGACGCAGGCAACTCTAAACCTCATACGATCATCGTACTGGATCATTGGCGGACGACTCCCAGTACGATCCTATATTTATCATTGTATGAAATGTGCTCGTTTACGTGGCGAACGAGCGAAGCAGTTGATGGGTCAATTGCCGTTATCAAGAATCACTCCAGCCCGACCATTTGCCGTCTGTGGTGTGGATTACGCTGGTCCCATCACGCTAAAGACTTGGAAAGGCAGAGGCGCCAAAACATCTAACGGTTGGATGTGCATTTTTGTGTGCTTCGTTACTTCTGCGCTTCATTTAGAAATTGTAACAGATTATTCAGCAGACTCATTTATTGCAGCGTTCAGAAGGTTCACTGGACGTCGAGGTGTCTGCAGAACTCTCCACAGTGATTGTGGCACCACATTTCAAGGCGCAGACACGCTCATCAGACAACTCTTCAAGCAGGGGACTCAACAGTTCAATCAACTCGCAGCTGTATTTGCAAAGGATGGAACTGATTGGAAGTTTAATCCACCAGCTGCACCACATATGGGAGGAAAATGGGAAGCTGCAGTCAAATCAGTAAAGTTCCATCTTAACAGAACGATAGGCGACTCACTCTTTACATATGAAGAGCTTTCCACACTGCTTGTCCAGATAGAAGCAGTCCTTAACTCCAGACCACTCGAGCCTCTCTCAGCCGACTCTACAGACATCTCAGCGTTGACTCCAGCACACTTCTTGGTTGGTGAACCGCTAGTAACATTACTAGAGCCTTCACTGGAAGATGTGCCAATGCCACGCTTGTCCAGGTGGCAATTTATTCAGCAGCGACTCCAATCGTTTTGGTCAACGTGGTCAAAACAATACCTTCAGCAGCAACTCGCCATTTCCAAGTGGAAACACCCCGCTCACAACATCACAGTCGGCTCACTTGTACTACTCACTGACGAGAGGTTCCCACCAACGAAGTGGCCTCTCGCCAGAGTGATTGAGGTGTTCCCAGGATCAGACGGACTCATCAGAACAGTCAAACTCAGGACAGCAACAGCAGAACTCGTCAGACCACTCACAAAGCTAGTCATCTTACCATACACTCCACCAGCAGAAGATCAGCAAAGGCGTTGCTGATGGTGGGACAATGTTCTGACTTGGAGGGGCCCAAGTCAGTTGGTCAGAAATATTAAAAAATTGTTAATGCCGGACTTGTCCACCGGCGCGTCAGTCAACTCACTGGACCAATCATCGGGAAGTATTTCCCTCATGGCCCAGAAGGCAACTCTACGGCCCTAGTGACGCCAACAAGCACGCGGTCGAGCACTTGTGGCGTCAGTTAGCTCCAGGCAAATCACGCGGTCATCTCTCTATAACTTTTCGCAGTCGAATCGCAGATTTTTTAGTCAGCTCACCTTTTGTAGTTACAAGTACGGTCAAATAGACTCAGACAACTCTCACGAAGATACGTGAATCATCAAATCACTCTCATCAGTGCCAGTGGTCCAGTATATTCAGTTGTAGTGTCTTTGGGCGCGAAGCTGAACTGGCGTCGACGCCATAGTGCCTCACGGACATTCACCTATACATCGCTCCCCCGAACAACTCTGGTGTATACTGTGAATGTTGCTTTTCACTGTTTTTTGAGACTATGTTATTTGGTGAAAAAATAACCATTAGACAACTCATAAGTGTACAAACAATTATGGTACAGTCAACTCAACTATATGTAGTGATTATTAAATTCTATTGAGTATGTTAAGTGTTATTGTTGAATAAAAACTATAAAACCCAAGCCATTCAGTGTTAATAAACTATATTTTAGAACCTTCTAGCATCCAACCTTTTGTTCTTATTCTGCTCTTAATTCATACAGTCCACTAGTTTTCAGTTTGCTCATTCGGCCGACTCGAAGTCAGAACAGTGATCTATTTTTTGATAAAAAATGAAACTTACATGGTATTATCCTGACGTTGATAATTATCGATACATAGGTTTGTTGTAAATAATTGTTTGAAAACTTCTCAATCCATTTTGTTTTTAATAAAATAGGTTCATCATATTTTAAAATTGTTTACAACTTATCTGACATATTATCTGTCATATATACATATACCAAAAACGTGGTCACGGCGTTATGCTCATGTGGTGATCAGCGGCCGGCAGTTAGCACTACAGCTATAGCGCGTTGGGAATTAATAAACAGTAGGTATTTTATTAAATAAATAATTTTAATTGTTTAGTATCAAATATAAAACTAGCTTTTCAGCTAAATTCGAACCTATGCTTGAATTAAATTATAACAGTTATGTTGATAAGTCTGTTTGAGATAGTTCATTTCTTGGCCGCCAGACTTCTTATCAAACACATTTTCCATGACTCATATGTTAATCTAGGTATGTGAAAGCTTTAAGTTCGTTAACGTTAACCGCCAAAAGCTATGCTCAGTCTTTTTCATCGTGGTCGTCCTAGAGTCAAAGTGTCTCAGATGCACCATTCACGTATTTTGATAAATAACAGCAGTATTTTTTATAAAATTCACTTAAAAGTAAGTACATCAGAAGCACGTAATAATAATTATCATATTTCTTTCTCAATAGCGGCCTTATTATAAATATTATCGCTCAATAATTGCTAAATGTCACAATCATATCAATAATTGAATATCCGCCATTTTTTTACTAGATTATTCTTGAATAAAATGAACTCTTCAAAAAACAAAAGAAGTTCTAAAAAATTATTTGATAATGATGGTAGTGATGCTAATAATTCAAAAAAAATCCATTTGGAGCAGCAAGTAAATGAAAAAAATGATGATCTGCTCAATCAAGAAACAGTAGTAGTTGAAGATGAGCTTGTACGACAAAGACAACCCGAAATATCAGTTAATACTCGAGAATTCGTGGGATATTCATCGTTCAAAGGATTCAAAGCATATGACAAATCTATGTAAGTGAAACTATAATTGAATTTTTATTTATAAAATATATTAATTTTTTTTTTTTATGTGTATAATATTTTGTTTGTATACACATTATGTGTATAATGACTTTAATTTTCCAGAGTTTATGTTTAGAGTATTGAATTGATTAATGTCTCTTTTTCTCATTAAAATATTAATTAATTACGCGTCATTTTCAGAGCAATCATTGCAAAAATCAGTGGATTCTCAGGTCCTTCTGAAGTTGGGGAAGACAAAAATAATCTTTATAAAGTCGATTTAGTTAATGATAGAGGAGAAAAACTCCAGCTAGCTTCTTGGAATGACGAAATAAAACGCATTGCTCCATATATTAAAACTAATGCGGTAAGTTAAAAATTGTCAATTTTATTAAAATTTTTTTTAAATGTTGGGTTATTGCATAAGTCTTTTTTTGTATAGATCCTTCATATTGAATTAGTATATTGTAAGCTAATTACCAAGCTCAAATACAACAAAGGGACGAAAAATTATGAGTTAGTAGTTCAATCGAACACCAATATTACTATCCAAGGTCACGATGACATCGGGAACAATGCAGTTCAACTTAATCGACCAGCTCCTCTTATCAAAATTCGTAATTTACTCGTGTGTGGTCACCGATTAATACGTGAGTTTATTTAAATAAAATATATACAATTGAAAATATCGATTTTTTTATAATTTTAATTATTTACAGGAACTGTCGGATTTATTGAAACTCATTTTGGTCTCATCAAGACATTGAATGCAAGAAATCAATATATTTGTGTATCTATCACAGATAAGCACATATAGAAGACTGTCAGATTCCTTTCACTAAAGAAGATCATATTTCTCTCCAAGGGTCGATTCAGGTTAATGGTGAGATTCAACTTTATTATTTGGATTTGAGTCTCAAATTCAAGAGTTTTCAATAATGAAGGTTGTAATTTTTCAGCTAATCCTGTTCACATCTTAGTAGAGAAAGCAAAAGACATAACTCGAGAAAGTGATCAAAAACTTAGTTTCGCTCGCCTGATGCAGATAACAGAAGGCTTGGATGCTGATTCTCATCGTCGGAGATACGATTCAGATCACAATGAATAATAGTTTCTTGTCATGTTTCTATTTAAAAAAAACATAGCATTAGATCATTTTCTATTCCAAAATTACCATTTTATTTTTGAACTAAAAAAAACTAATTGGTCATTTCTTTTTATGAAAATCATTATATTTTTATTTCTTTCAACTCAAGTAGATTTTTTTTTGTTTTCAAAAAGCTTCGTTCTGATAAAGCAAGAGTGCTCAAATGATATTTTTTTTTATTTTTAAATCGAATATTTTTTTTTTGTTCAAAAGAAATGATTGATTTTTTTTTTGTTTTCTATTTTTTTGAAATGAAGAAAACCTTCGAATTTAAATTGTACTCTATTTTTTGGAAATTAACAGAAACTTGGAACCGCATCGTCATTAAAAAAATTTGATTCTAATAATGAGAAATTATAGTTTTGTATTGTTTCTTCTTTTTCTACTTTTAGAAAAAAAACATTCATTCGTTTTGATTCTATTTTTCTTCTATTATTTTTATAATAATAACCTAAGCTCAGAAGGCTGAACTTAAGACTGAGTTTAGTAGTAATAAAAAAAGCTCAATTTTTATGAAGTAATAAATAATGTATAACAAACATTTTTCAATTGTAAGACTCTTTAAGGTTTGGTACATTTATTGGTAGATTAGATTTGAGATTTGTTACAAATGCATGCATAAAAATTGTATTTTTGAGTATTAAAGATGTTCTGATAATAAAAATTAAAAAATTATTTTTAGGCTGTTTTTTAAAAGAATTTTAACAAAAAATGTTAAAATTAATTAATTAATTAATCGAATAAAAACCTGAATTTTGAGCTGCTAGTAGGTAGAAAAACAAACTTTCTTGTAACCATTCTACATTAGAGAAAAACGAAGAAACTCTGTATAACAAAGTGAATAGAGAAAGGAAAGCCTAAAAACTAGTGATGCATATTTTTTTGTAAAGCCATTGTTTCTGTATTGGAATTCACAAATCGAGAAATATTCAACAATTGATAGAAGAAAACTAAAACAATAAAATTAATGATTAATGAATGAAAAATTAATAAAAATTGTGGAGACAATCTAATGGCCAAATGATTTTTCTATTGGAACAATAAACGCTCCAGTCATCAAAAAGTGACTACACAGTCTGCCTGAAATTCCACTGTCTCTTTTATCATGGTAGTATTTTTTTTCAAATATTGCAGTTAGAAGAATAGACAATAATTTAAAATGAATTAATTAATAAGTATACAGACGATCTAAACGGTTCTATGATTTTTATAGTGAAAAAGGCCCCTTCTTCCGTTAATGGTGTCTACCCGATTAGTATGAGCTTTGGATGAAATTTTTCTTATAATAGCACTTTTTTAAAAATATCACAGCTAGCAAAAAAATTAAAAAATATTAATCAATAGGTCTAAAAGCAATCCGCACAGTTTAATGATTTTTATAGTCGTTCTGAAAAAAGTTCTTACATCTAAGAAGCGAGTCCGCAGTCGCTTTAAGCTTGAAATGAGATTTTTCCCATGTTGGCATTTTTTCAACTTCTCAGTGGAAAGTTATAGGAATGGGTCCGATTTTGCAAATCGCAAATTTTAAAATACCTCCACGTTTTGAGGTCCCGCAAATCCAATACGACCGTTTCCCAGTAGACGTCTGTGTGTGTGTATGTACGTATGTGTGTATGTGCATATGTGCGTACGTACGTTCGGAATTATTTTTCGCCTCGATTATCTCGAGAACAAAAAATGATATCGATGTGGGACCAATTGCATTCGACGCGTAATTACGTTACTTAAAACTGAAAGAGTTTTCAGAAAAATCGGTAAAGCCATTTTTTTGGCAGAATCAAAAAACTAGAAAAAAAGGAAATTACCTGAATTTATAAATTATACCATTTTTAGACAAAATTTCAAGATCATTGCAGAAATATGAATCTTAAATTATTGGAATACTTCTATGAAAATATGATGACAATATTTCATCGAAAAAAAAATGTTTAAAAAACAAACTCAGCCATAAAAGAATTTTAAACTCGTGTCAGGATTGAGAAAATAGCATTGAAGACGCTACAATGGTCAATAATAATTGTTATCATATGAAATTTTGTCTTCAACAAGT